GAAATAGGCATTTATGAACAAAAGGAAAGAAAAAGGCATTTTCAGAAAAAAACGTTTAAAAAAGGCAGAAAAGGGCATTTATGGCATTTTGCCTGAACTTCCGGGTTCTAATAATTAGCATACGCTGCGCTGTCTAACGTAAAGTGTAACTTGACCTAACAGTTGTGAATATCTGTTGAAAATTCAAAGCAGTTATGAAAATAGTACAAAAAAGCGTTGTTTCTTGTGACAACAGAGCTTTCGGAAAACAAAAGACTTAAGAGAGGAAAAAACAAAAATAGTATACACTGTTGTCAGTTAGAAAACATTATCTTAATAGAGAGAGCCTGTTACCATTTAAGTGTACACTAAATGGGTAGTACGCTTCCAGCGCGAACGTTGTTGTTGTTAATTTACGCCACACTAGAGCTGCACAATGGGCTATTGGCGACGGTCTGGGAAACATCCCGAAGGATGATCCGAAGACATGCCATCACAATTTTGATCCTCTGCGGAGGGGATGGCACCCCCGCTTCGGTAGCCCGACGACCTGCGCGCGAAGTCGAGCACTTTACGGTAGCACAGTTTAACGAGGACCAATACCGCACACCCTCGGTCCCTACGCAGACTGATCCAAGTGGTCACCCACCCGCACACTGACCGTAGCCAGTGATGCTTGACTTCGGCGATCTGCTGGGAACCGTGTCTTAACGATCAGTCCACTGCGGGAACCAGCGCGAACGTATATCAATATTACCAACTCTTGAAACGACGTAGCACAACTTTCTTTCTCAAATCGTACGAAATGCAGCACCTGATTTCTCATACAGTTTGATAATACCAGGCCTAGGGCCCCCACATTTATGGGGGCCTACTAAATGTTACAAATAATTTCTTTTTGTTCTTCCTTGAAAGTTTGAGTTGGCAAATATCGAAATAAATAAGAGCTCAAATTTACTAATACTGATCGTAAAGATACGGTTTCCACTAGAACACCGAAGTCAAGCATCACTGGCTGCGGTCAGCAAGCGGATGGGTGAGAACTTTGATCAGCCTGAGTAGGGATCGAGAGTGCACAGTATTGGTCCTCGTTAAACTGTTCTACCGTAAAGTGCTCGACTTCGTCAGGCTACCAAAGCAGGGGTGTCATCCCCTCTGCAAAGGATCAAAATTGCGATGGCATGTTTCCCAGACCGTCGCTAATAGCCCATTGTGCAGTTCTAGTACGACGTTAGTAAAGTACCAACGAACACTCAATTTACTGATGTCATAAATAATTTAGAAACACTCCATTAAACATGTAAATTTGTTGTAAAATAACGACGCTCCTGACAGTTCGTGCCTAAGGCATTCTTCTTTCTAGATCAGGTGTTGATGAAATGAGATAAAACTTATTGAATAAAGTCTATTGTCCTGTTTAGGACTGGGCTATAAATCGATATATCGCGACATATCGATTTAACGCCTATATCGGCAAACCGATACAGCAACTTTCATTCCAAGCGATGCATCAGAAATCTGATTTAAGCCGTCGAGTGAAGAAGACGATATAACGATATAGCGATACACGCAAGGACTTTCTCTTACGTTCCGATGCCAACTCGCGCTGTGGAAGACGATATTGTTTCGTTATGTTGAGACGGCCTTGACTGATGAGCGGTAGAATCAGAATCACTTTTGAGACCTTATATCGTTATATCACATGTTCGTTTTCGCACCTTCGCGATTTGAAATCGTTTCTTGTAGATTATTTTCAATGGGATTAACTTCGTGATCGCCGTCGTAACCTTGTTCTGAACGCAATCTATTATTGAAAAGAATTTATAAAGAAAAGTTTCTTCATTAATTAGGTAAGTTTTTTATTTATTTTCTGACAAAACTTTTTTTATATTTTTAAATGTGAAAATTATCGGAAATCTAATTTAAGGCACCCATAAGGAATTAAATTACAAAGTAAATAAATTTGTTAGGTTATTTTTTTACTTTCTTTTAATTTATTAAAAACCTTTCGGATAAAACTTCTAATAATTTAATGGGCTTCTATTACTGATTTTAAATTTATAAATCTTGAGTTGTTTTTATTTTTAGAAATAAAGTTAAAACAAAACTTATTTTTTGGACATAAGTCAATAAACTTTATTTGTTCAAAAGAATTTGAAAAGTTTGCGAATTTTATTTCTTTTTTTTTTTTTTTTTTTATCAATTACTACTTCGTTTTATTAGAGAGTAAAATCATTATTTTTTTTTAATTTTCGTTTTATATTATTAGTTAATTAGCTAAATATATTACCGAATATCACAATTCTTTTGTTTTTATTTTTAAGAATTTAATTAAGAAACTTTGCCTTACTTTGTTTTTCGTTCATAATTCGGTCATTATTTAATTTAATTTAATTATTTATATGAAATAATAATAAAAATAGTGTTTAAGAAGCATTTTTTTTCTAAAATTTATTTAGCTCTTTGTTTTAAGCATACAAATAATTTTTTAACGAACTTATTTTTTAAATTTTGTTCCTATGCTGTTAGGTAAATATATTGATAAATTTCACTTTTATTTATTTTTTTATTTTTAAACTAAGAAATCTTTTGTTATTTGCGTGATCATTTTTAGAAAATATAACAAAACTTGTGTTTACTTCTTCATTAAGAATTTGAACATTACGATCGAACTTAATAATTCTGTAATTATTTACGCATAATAGTACAAGCAAATATTGATTTGTTAAAAAAAGTTTTTTTTTTTTTAAAAAAAAAAAAATATTTTTAACACTTTGTTTTAAGTGTATAATGAATTTCTTAACAAACTTTTTTTTTAATTTTTTAAATTTTCTTTCAATAATTTCAGCTAGATATCTTTATAAAATTCCCTTTTTATTTTTAAACTGAGAAATCTTTCAGAGAACGAAAATTTTAAGAAATTATTACAAATCTTATGTTTACTTTTTAGTTTAAAATTCGAACATTTTTAATTTTAAACTTCGGCTTTTAGTCAATCTAACTTTTATTTTAATTAAAATATATTTTGAAATTTTAAAATCAGCTTTTGTTTAATAACAATATTTTTTTTTCATTAAGGGTGTTTTAGGGGTTAACTTAAATTAAGACTGCTTATACCTTATAAACGATAAAGAAGTGCAAATATTTCATTCTGTATCTACACACATTTTTTCAATAAATATTTTAAGTAAGATTTGTACATCTTAGTCAATTTATTTAATATCTTTCTTTAGCAAAACATATATATTTTCAAATTTATAAATTGATTTAAATCAATATGCGTCTGAAGTCTTGATAGAAATCTGACTTTCTGTGCCTTAAAGTAAATGAAATTCAAAAATACTATATCGCGATACATCGCTATATCGCGATGCAAAACTGACGATATATCACGATATCAGGGGTGATTGTGAGCCCAAGTCAAAATTCCGGAAAATTTCTTAGGTTAAAAAAAAAAAAAAAAACAGTTACAATTGAAAATTAGAAAACATTTAAACAAGATTTTTTTCCTTTTTCTCAATATTTCTTAGTTTGCTTAAAATATATTTAAAATTTTACGCATACCTATACCATTTACACATACCTATGATGACCTGGAGAAGTAATTAAAATTTACAAATATGTCTTTCTTTCTTGAGTTTATGATTATAACAACTGTTTACTAATAAAAAATGAATATTAATCACGAATATAAGTTTATGAAGTATCCCTCTGGCTCTCCCTTACGAACAAATAAAATAAACTGTGTCTTAAGTTCCACCTTTGAAAATTTATTTCCAGAAACTTCTGTGATCAATGATTTTTTGAAACGTCTGGACCTTCGATCTCCGGAAACTTCCGGATCACTGTTAGCGAAAATTCCGGAAAGCCGGATTTTTTCCGGAGCACAATCACCCCTGCGATATATAATTTCTAATATCGCCCAGTCCTAGTCCTGTTAATAACAATTAATAAAAACGATATCTAAAAATTGTGCAACATATATGTCTTTCTGTTCTCATTTAACGAAACTGATGAAATATTAAATACTGTTTCTTGCAGACGATTCTCTACTACAGCGAAACAAAAGTTTAAAAAAATTCTTTTGCTCACATTTGACTCGTTAGTGTATGACCGCTATTTTTAGTGGCCCAATTAAATTCAATGCTCCTGCAATGTTATATAGTTGTTTCTTTTTTGCTTGTGTTTTCCTTATTTATCTATGCATGTCGCCAAATTTAGGATTCCAGTAAGACTAAGAAATTAAGAATTTTTTTAATAATTCTAATATATATCGTAAACGATAGCACGAATTAAATTTCTGCTTGACGTGTATAGCTTTCAAAAGCTATTATATTGTTTTGAAAGCATATTTATATAATTTATAACTAAATAAAACGGAACTATATACGGTCGCGGATTATTTAAATCCTATACAGCAGTGGTCTTCTTTTTAAACTTGCAACAGAGCATAGTGTTTTCTAATAATTGTTTTTCGATCCTTCTCTATTGCAAACAGGTTTTAATGTTTTAGCTTAGCCTCTCTCAGTAGTGATGATTCGTAGAATTTCGATGGTACTTTTTTCTCTATCAATCAATCATGAGTGACTCTTAACGAGAATAATTTTAAGCTTTTCTTTAACAAGAATTCTAAAAAGGGCCCGCATTACAAGTCTAATATTCATTGTTTCATAATGATGTAAAAGAAAGAAAAATAATAATAATAATAATTAACGTAAACAACAAAAAATTGAATATTGAAATATTTATATGTTTGACATTATTGTTGTTTGATAAACTAGAATATAATGCAATTTTTTCCCGAAAATAAATTAATCAGTTTTCTCAAATTCTATTTTGGCCTTGATAGTACATAGTCAAGGAAATAGTAATCCAGCAACTTTTTTAAAATCTATCGTGAGGCTATTTTTTAATTGCTCATCAGCATATGCAATTAGAGAACAAAAAAAAAAACAATAATAAAATATTAAAAAAAAAAACAGTCTTAATTTTTAGGTGTAAAATCAAAAAAGAAATACAGATACATTATAAATAATACTACTTTAATTAAACATATTTCGTTTTAAAAATGAATTCCATTACATCAAATTGATTAAAATATACACAAGAAATTTAAAACTGCATACATAAGTGACTAGTTTCAAAAAACAACAAGAACCATAAATAATGCAAGAGGCAGTCTAATATATCATTATCTTTTTCTCGGTGTAAGAAGTTAATTTCATTTATTAGTAATGAAGTCTCATTTAACGATCGTAGCTTTCACCTCAGATAAAAGGAAACAAGTTATACATAATTAATAATTATTTCACGTTTTATAAAAAGGCATGAGATATAAAAGAAAAAAAAAAGGATAAGGACGTTATATATACATGTATGAAAGTGTATGTATAATTTCATTTGAAAAATAATTGAAATGATTACTGTGTCCAGCAAATTCATTAACTAACCTTTTTTAAAGAAAAAAAAATTCTGTTTCATGGGAGTTAAAAGTATCTAATTTAATGCCATAAAATACTAATTTACAACCAGTCTTTTAAAACATTTAACATGAGGATGAATCCATAACTACAAATTGAATAGATCTAAAATCATAGCATTTGAAAAAATTTTCAAATTTTAATAGAATACTATAATATAAGTAACAATACATTTTGATTAAATTATTATGAAACAATATTAATATGAAAGACTAAGAGGAAAACTAGACCCAAAATATTACTTTATAAAAATTAATTCGTGAATGTCACCCTAAAAAGTCATCAACATCCAACCACTCTTTATCAATCTATGGACTTAAAATTAATTTTAATCAGTTATAAAGATTTTTTTTAAGAGCACAGAAGAAAATTTTATGTTAGTTTATCAATATCCTCAAAAATAGGAAGTAGAAAAATAGAAAAAAAAGAGGACAAAAAAATAAAGAAAATATCATATCTGGAGGAAGAATTTCATGCCTGTATTAGTAAAATTGGATGATTAGTATGATGGACACATATTCCAAAATAGGTCTTATATAAATTACTTTTGAAAACCAAGGTTTATAACTATATTTCCTTGCCTACACCTCATTTGAGCAAATCTTATAATAAAAAAAGAAATAATTGAGACTTAATGAGTTATTGCTGCCACTTATTGAGGACAAAAATAAACTGATAATGATATAAATTGACACCTACTATTATGCATACCTGCCAGTGATAATAAGAAGTTTCCAACAGAATTGGTAAATTATCTTAACCTCTGATTTAGTTCTTATGCAACAATTTTTTTAAACAAGTGTTTCACCATAGAAGTTATCAACTTCTAAATTATCATTATGTTTTTTAAATCTGTCTTTTAATTGACTAATTTTAAAAACTTGAAATATTAACTTTCAGTACAAAAAATGCCCAAGGTGTATGTTAACTAATGTTAATTTCCCCCCCCCCCTTAAGGTTGACAACGACCATAGTTTTTAAAAGATGAAAAAATTCTTTGGAGAGAATTAATGCTTTAACTTAAAAATGTTTTTGCAAATTTCTTCAATACAGTCAGTATTAATTTTTACTTAATTTTCACTTTCAGTAAATGTGAAGAAAATTGAATTCCATAGCAGGTTATTACTTCTTCAATCGCAATAGAGTTATAAACGGTTCCATTTATCTAAGATTCTGGATTATTTACTGTATCTTTTTTAAAAGCAATATTTGGCTTTAAAGTTCAGAAAATAACAGTTAACTTATAATTTAGTAGTGTGTCTAAAATAAATTCACGAGTTTAAATGAATTCAGTTCTACTTTCTTTTTTTAATCTAAACTATTTATTTATCTGATTAGTTTTTAATACAGAAAGACAAAATAAATAAGAATTAAGCTCTTTTTGAAGCATTAATTATGTGTTTGTTACATAAAAAAAAACAATTAGAAATGCAACTGAGGTTTTGCTGCACTCCATTCCCCAAATAAGAAAATTGATGGTGTAATTCACTTCATTAATCTATTCAAGATATTGAAAATGTGCTACAATTCTTTCACCTAGTAAGTATATTGAACGTGTGTACAATTTATTCACAGAATGAGAATACTGACTAAGGATATGTTAAGTTTCATTTAAAACACAGTCGGACATTTCAGAAAATTACCACAATTATAATTAGCAGAATTAAATGGAAATAAAGATTCTATACATATATTTATAAAATATAGGAAATAAAAATGAATATTTTAACCACTTATGGATGGAAATTGGCAGGTATGCATATGCAATGATATAAAAACATAAATAAAAGGGTGGGAAAGCATATTATTGCAAAATATGAAATAAATATTATTTTATGCATACAGTCAGTGCAAACTAAATGTCTGTATTTTTAATTTTTAAATAACTTTTCCTACTGTTTTTAAGACTAATTGAAAAAATATTAGTTTTTTAAACATTCTGCATTTGCAATACAAAACTTCAAGTCTGTTTGATTTGTACCTGTTTTGATTGCCAATAAGAAATTTTTTTTAAATTCAATTTAAGAAGACTTTATCCTTTCGATATACCAGGAAAATTACTAATATTATCTGGATAACAGGTAATATAACTGCCAAGAATTTTTTTAAAAAGAGGAGCACTTAAACGCGTTCGGAATTATGGAATTGCTGTTACTTAATTGATGTTGCTGAATTGTGAGATAAGTTTGTAAAAGCCCCATCTAATGCAGCACAAGTCATTGTGCAATTCATTAGAAGGTAAATTTCTAATTCATTATGTTTTTAAAATTTACATTTTTATAAAAATGTAAAACAGTGAAATTTTGCAGCTAGTAATTTTGAATTGGATTTACTGTTAGCTTAAACTTAGAAGAACTTTAAAGGAGATTAGAAGATTTGTTCTAGCATCTCGTACAACTAAAAATAAAGAATAAAAAAATTTCATAACTTTAAAAGAAAACATTCGACTACCTTTTAAAACATCAATGATCAAAAACACAAATTTTGCCATTATGCCAAAATTATAAAAATATTTTTTTTTTCACTATTATATAATTTTTTTAAGAATACAATTGTGAAGAATTTTCATTATTCTAATAAATTAATGAAGTTGGTTTTGTTCAATTATAAAGGATAATATGTTTTATAAACCTGCAGCATTATTAAACCTTTAAGGGTCAATCTTGAATTTAGTTTGGGAAACAATCTAATTGCTGCCAGGAAATCAATTTTTCTTCATGCTATTCATTAGACTTCCCCTGGTAGTAAAATTTTGTAAAAATTTAACCTAAAACAAATCACTTAAAATGTAGTAAGGAATAAAAAAATGCATATTTGTCTTCAAATATGAGGATTTGACAAAAACCTTGATTTGAGTTTTTATGTATTTCTCTTATCATTTTATATCATTTTTATTTATTTTGATATGTAGAAGCATACACAAAATATAAAATGGTTTTATAATTACCTAGAAAAATGAAATGTATGAGAAATATAATGGTATAAATGAATAGTGTTATTTTAGAGCTATTTATTAATATGTTTGGTGTAAACATACAGAATTTTTTCTCGCAATATATGCCAACTTAATAATCCTGCTGAGGTTAATCATTTCGTGATAAACACATCCACTTAACAGACATTTACTTTCCACTGATCTAACAATAATATTTGCAACAAAATATCAAACAGCAAAACTTTAAAAAAAAAAGTAATAATAAAGGACAAAGGCACTTTTTGTAAGATAGAGACTTTAACACCACAATGTATCTCCTTTTAAAATGCATTTGAACTAATTGCACTACACAACTGATGTTAATTAAATTTCAGATCTAGTGTAACCAATAAATATACATAATTAAATTACACTAGCTGACAATTAAATGTCATCTAAATAAATTAACAGAATGCTTACAAATTAACAAATACATACATTCTTTAATTGTAGAAAGGTTCACCAAATATTTATTCTATAATACAGGAAAAATAGGAAACATTCACTACACAACATTGCAAGAACATCATCAAAAATTATATGCAATAGATAAATAAAATATTTCAACTAATAGAGAGAGAGCAGAAATCCACACAAGTCAAGCCCAAAAATCCACAAAAATAAATGCTGGATTTGTGCATTTCTGCAGATCTTTATGCAGTTAAGCTTATTTCTTCATGGAGAGTGGATCCATTAATGATTATGTGTTTTGACTGTCTGTAAGGAAGAGAACGAATTAACAACAAATATTTATGGTAAGGTGAAATATGAGCATATTTTGGATAGCAATACTTTCACTCGTATTTTAGGTTATTTTTTAAATTTTGTACTTTTACAAATTTTTTGTCGGAACTAGAGTACCTTGCAAACTTAATCTTTTTTTTATAAAAAATATAATAAATTGACAAAATCCAATCGTTATTTGTTTTTATTTTATCTTATTTTCAATATGAAATTTTTTTATTTTCTATTTGAAAAATGCCCTAATACATTTATTTAATTTTGTCAAGCAGCATTTTTGTCAACCGTATGTTTTTTTAAATTTTTTTTTTAAATAATTTCAATAATCTATTTGATGTAAACATTTTTCTCGAAAATTGTTTGCCATTTAGGTTTCAAAATAGTAAGATTAATTTAATTAAAATATAGTAATCATTAAAAGATTTTAGAATTTTATTATTTCTCTGATTTTGAATAAATATATTTTTTTCCCTTTTTTGAATTTTATCATAAAAACATTTAGTTCATAATATAAATAAATTTAAAAATGAAACGATTTAATTTTGTTTAATTTTTGTTTGTTAAAAAATTAACAACAAATTTAAAAACCGTTATTTAAATAACTTTTTTTTATTTTTAAAAATTCCCAAAACAGAGATAAAAATTTTACTTTAAAGGCTTTCAAAAGGTTACTTGTATATGAATACAATGTTTTCTTTAAACAAAAATAATAATGTAATCAAATTTGTTCATCAAATTAATTTATTACTACAAATTTCAAAAGTAAAAACAAAATTTAATAGTTTTCAAATTACATAATTTACAATCTAATCTAATTACAATCGAATTTACAAACATTGAATTATGATTTCTGGTGTGATTTCTTAATATTTTAAATGTCTACTATTTCAATGAATTTTTTTACATTTTCTTCCATTTTAAATTGACTTTAAATTTTCTATTTCCTTGAAATGAACTTTCAAATTGTTACTTTTTTGGCTTTGTATTTTACCTGTACCACTAGGAAAAATACTTCTAAAAAAAAGTACAAGTGTTGACATATAAAAAATAAGTATGATTTGTCTAATGTAATGTTAACAAACAATCATACTTCTAAAAGTCTAAATTATAATAAAATAAAATTTATTAACAGCTAGAGAAATTGATTTACTATAATTTTAATGAAAAAAGGCATATTGTTTGTAGAATAAAATATATATAAGGATGTAATTCATTCTATTCAATAAAAAAAATACTATTTTCTAATGTTTTCAAAACACAAAAATTTTTTCCCACCAATATATTGCTGATTTGACGATATACTAAATTGCTCTAGTCAAAAAATAAAATAATTAATTTGCTATTTGAGAAATAAATATTTTAAAAAAATTAATTAATTTTCAGCAAAGATGAAAACATGGTTTTTCACTATCCCATGAACCGAATAACAAATAATTTGGGAATGAGCAAATCTCATTGAATGCTGAATAAAAATAGAATATTCTGGAAATCAAGCTGTATAACTAAAATAATCCTCTGTTTTAATTTTTTTTTCTAATGAAATGAGAACATTTGTCATTCAATGAGTTCAAACAATGTATATATGTATAAAAAAAAACTCAATTTTTGTTAACCTTTCAAAATACTATATATATAAAAAAAAAGACCAAAATTTTTAAGATTAAACTGCTTCTAATCTCATTTGAAATTTTTAAAAAGGGACTGCTGTCTTTTTTTCAATCTTCATAAGAGTTCAAAACTAAAAAATATGATCTTACTATAATTAATTCTTCTAAAAATCCGAAAAATCGTCAATATTAACTATTTGGTTACTTCAAAAATATTTTGAAATTGACAAGTTATTCATTTAAAGACAGAAAAATGTGTTTTTACCAAAAATAAATAACTGCAACCTAAAATAGCCACATCAATAACGTTTTGTAATCAAGTTCATTTCCCCAGAAATGTAATCAGGTTTATTTCTCTAGAAATGCATAAATTCTCATATTGCTTCACTAAATAGTTTTTGAGCTATGAAAGTGAGAAGCATGTTCGGGGAATATTTTCTGAAATAGTAGTGACAGCGGCAGAAACTCTTGTAATAAGAGAAATAATAAAAAAATACTTCCACAAGTTTAACATTAAACTTTTTGTCATTTACATAGTTCGTTAATCGTAGAAATTTTTACGTATTTGAAAATTAAAATAAGTTTCTGCAGTATGCAAATAAATTTATATACATATTTTTTCAACTTAGTGCATCATTTACCTACATTGCCAACCAAACTATATTTAACTATTCACTGTTACAATTTCCGAATTTTTCTTTTCATAAAAGAAGAACCGGGGAGCTTTTGAAACTGAACGACTAGATGTCTTAGTTCTAAATTTCTGATGAAATTGGAAGATATGAGAGTTGTGAAATGGGTGCCTAATATGATACCTGTACATTATTTTTTTAAATCACTATTTAAAAATTTGAAATGAAGGTGTATATATATAAATAACCGTCATTGAACAGTCGACCCAATATTTTGGGTTTACGACTACTAATGTTCAACTCCATAGCTTTGAAATTTTGAACCCAATCCAGAAGACAAGGGAACTCCTGGATCGAGTATTGGGAGAAATTTGCATTCACGGAGGACATTTTGGTGGAACTAACTTACATTTGCATTACACGGACAGGAAGACCACGAGAACCTCCCACGGTTAGCCTGACGGCAAGGGGACTCTAACCCATGATCTGTCTACCTCTGAAGATATTTCACGTCAGCACTGTGGTCTGTGAAAGCCAGATGTGGAATTCGTATCTACTGGGATTCGAACCCGGTTCACCACATTGGAAGGCGAATGCTCTAGCCCCTGAGCCATCGCGGCTCAAATGAAGGTATGATGGTGATTAATTTTATTTAAGTTTTCCAACAACAAAAAGGAAAATTAAATTTTGAAAATATGCCGAATGGCCAAACAAATTTTGCCAAATATATAAAATCCTTGGGACCTTCCATCCACGCGTTTCTGATATTACTGTGTATATACAAGTAAGTTTCAATTAAGATCGAAATAGACAGTTTTACCTCACTCATGTTGGCCTACGACATGGCAATTTTAAGTTTTTGAAAACCACAGTCAAAGAAAGGTCTGTTATTTAAAGGCAAATATCTCATTCATCCGTTGAAGATAAAAAATAATTGAATCGAAACAAATAAAAAGAGTCTTACACAGGAGATTGTTTCTCACTACCTTCTTTCGGTGAATTCTCTTTCACATACGCTCTGCAGGATGCTAATTTAGATTCTAGAGCCTGCAAAGAATGAAAACTTATTTTAAAACAATTTATTTTAGAGCAAATTAATTTAGAACAATTAAATATAGTTAACAATATTTCAAAAAAGAATTCTGATGATATTTTTCTTAATAGCAAATAGTTTATCTTCACTACAGTATAGTCCTGATTATCAGAGTTAATGTGAACCACGACTAACTCGGATAACCGAGTTAGAGAGAAGAGTTAAGGGTTAGAGGGAAGAGCATAAAAAGGAAAGAAAAAGAGTAGGAATAAATGTAATACATTTAAAAAATACAAATTTATACAAGTACACCACATACAATTCATATTATAATTAAAAAGCTTACTTAAAAACACTTAAAGAGAGCATACTTTAAGAAGAATTAATAAGTTTTTTGTTCAACACATTCAATAGCACTTTCGGCAGCTTTTAGTCCATCTGTATGAGAGATCATTATTGACGATAATAACGATCATTTCACTGGATGAAATTGTTAGACTTCATTTTTCTGAATATTTTGAAGGTAAACTTCAGACTTTTTTCAGAGGTAATTTTAAAAATAAAAAATAAAGTAGAACAAAAAAAAAATCCTTGAAATATTTGATAGCTCGGTTAAAGCGGAAACTCGGACAATCGAGACTCTACTGTATTTCCGATTTCAATATGATCTGCATTATACAACAATAAGATATTTTATGAAAATTAATAAAAGGTCTTAGATACATTTGTGTGAAAACCTTTTTAATTTTGTTTTCACTTTAGTTGTCCTAATATTTTAAAATTTCAAATTTAAAATGTAAATTTCAGATATAATTTTGAATTTTACGGCTTTAACTCTTTCAGGGATCATAGGATAAAATCTGATTTACGTATTTTTGACTATACATAAACAACTAAAATTAGAATTCTTATCTCTAAATCATTGGGTCAAAATTAAGTATTGAAAAACTGATAATTTCATTCTGGATTTGCATATTTATGACTTTTATACACTATAATTTTAGTTACATTAGGCAAAAGGTTAAAAAAAAATACTTATTTGTTTCTCTTTTTCGCCTAACTATTTAGTTCATAATAAATTTAAACGACAGATGAAAAATGTCACGTTTCCCCTTTAAAGTTTTAAAATTTAAAAGTCTATCAAGATTCATTTTTGAATGTAATCAAACAAAAAAAGGAAGAATTATACTCTGTTCAAGCAAGACTGATAACAAAAGTTGAACAAACCAACCTGACATTATACAATACTTTTGGCTGATTAGCGCTAAGGTTATGAAGACTACCACTTGTCCATCTAACAGTTAATATGAGAAGAATCACAGACTCAGCAAAAGTCTGCAATGTTGGAGACAAACAACAAACCATTATGATTTCTTCCGTTATCACTTCTTTCAGAACAGAGTATAGTCTGATATGACTTAAAATCAATTAAGTTTATTATTAATTTAAAATGGAATATTTATTGGAAATTAAGTTAAGAAACTAGGAAACCAATGTATAAGTAGAGGTTAAATCTACAAAACATAATAGTTATGCAAATTAGGAAAAGCATATTTAGGATTTAGATGGAAACAAAGAGCAGTGAACAAATAAAATGCCAAAAATTTTAAGAAGCAAATGCAAGATTATATTGGGCAATCTCTTTTAATAATTTCTTTTTAAATAAGAGAATTTTCCCTTAAATCAACAATAATCTGATTCGTAAGCGACACTTTTTCATTTGAACAAAAAAAAATTTTCTGAAAGTTATTAAGAATATACTTACTCCAACTTTTCTCAGAAGATCTCCAATTATATTCAAAGAAGATATGCGAGAAGACGGAGTTAAGGGCGAGGATGTGTTTAGGTGATTATTTAAATCTGTATAAAAATAAAAGACACAAAACTTTAATACCTTACAATTTTTAGAAAAATTCAACAGCAGGTTCAAAACAAAAGTAAATAATACTACCATATAAATAAAAGATTATGTCCAATTTTAAGTAACTCAGAATTTAATACTATCCTTCTCAAAATATTTTTAAAAAGTACTAATTCTCATTTTTAAATTGCAGTTTTTTTATGAGCTAATATTTTTTATACTTTCGTGTTTACAAAGTTGGATGTATAAGTTTAACTCAGATTGTAACAGTACCCCTCATATATTATTTTAAAAGTATACTAATTTTCTTTTTTAATTTGAAGTTTCATTGTAGATTAATATTTTTATACAAGGTTGCCACTCAAATCTGGAGAGAAAAAAATTCCCTGTACATATTATACAGCAGGGATGGGCAAACTTTTTTGGTCAAGGGGCCAAAAATCAAGAAAAAAAATGTTTGGTGGGCCAAGTAAAAACTTCAAAATTTAAGAAAAAAAGGTGATATACAAGTTTTAATTTAAATATTTAGTGAGATGAAGGATATTGCGATTTCATTTTTAAAAGTTCCTTACATTAAGGGTGGAAGTGAGATGTGCTTATTGTAAGGAACAAGGCTAAATGCTTTGCTGTTAGTCTACTTCTGAAATGATTTTTTCTAAGGTTCATAGTTGAAAACTCTTGCTCACATATATAAGATTAAGCAAACATGCACTGATTTTCTGAGCATGAAATATTAAATTTCGGAAACTAGCTTTTGGTAATGATTTGTTTTGTAAAACTTTGGAATATTTAGAAACGACTGCTTCAGATGATTGTTAGATTGTCCACTCTTTGGAGCGTAAAATGCGCAGTCTGCCAAATGTGAAGTGCAATTTAACTATATTAGATTCCATAAGTCAGCTCCTCGAGAGAGACAAGCGCTAGTTGGAGACAATCTACGGCTATTCTATAAAGAACTTCTGCTTTCAACATTTTACCAATTGAAGCTGTCTGAGCTAACTATTTCCATCAATAGTCGACAAGAAAATGGATGTATATTGTTTATATTTGCCTCTGATCGGCAAATAAAAGTTCTATCCGCGGGCTGGATAAAATCTTCCAGAGGGCCACAGTTGGCCCGCGGGCCGTAGTTTGCCCATCCCTGTTATACACAATATATTAAAAGGAAACAACAATTACTGAGCTCTTGAGTGAGATATATTGGGTCAACTATATTTATTAGATTTAATTGCTGGAAAAACAGCAGAACACACTTAAATAATGCTATAGTAAAATAAATAGTTTAGAATAGCTGAAATGTCATGGTTAAATATCAATTTTTAATTAATAAATTTTAAAATATGGATTTTTTATAAACTTTATAATTGTTAAAGTTTATCAACATTTAAGTACAAATTTAAGTAACTAGGAATTTAATACTAGTGGAATAATCTAATACACTTTCAAATAATTTTTATACATTCTAATAAATTGCGTCAAACTTTGTAATTCAATAATCAAAAAGATTTTTAAAAAAACTTTCAATTACGCAAAATATTAAATTTATAAAAAAAAATGATAGAAAATAAAAGAGACAAATACAATAGTTACATTTTGTGCGAACTTCTGGCAAATTTTCCAACTCTGCTTTAATTTTACGGGTGTCAGTAACTGTCTTCACACGAGCCAAATTGGTGTCAGTAGATGCAGATCTTTCATAAACAGGACGTTGATGTAAAGTCATTTCTTGTCTTAAATCTAAATACAAATATTTAAATTTAAAAACAAGTTCATAATATCTAATTATCAAATTCATAATGAAATTTCAATAATAAAATTATAATATTAATGATTAGATCACATTAATCGTATTCAATATGAAGTGCAAACTCAATCATTTCTCATTGGGAAGGTTAGATTCAAAAAATAAAACATCAAATAATAATTTGAAAATGTATAAAAAAATAATGAATTAATAGACTTAAAAATTAATAAATTTACAATAAGTATTAAAAATTTTTAATCAAAAAAATTATGCACTTACAGCATAAATATTTATAATGCAAGAGAAAGGTGTGTATGATGGAAATCAATGTATTAATGTTCAGTATACCCAAGTATGTGAGCTATAACTTTGCCTGTTATTCATCGATTAATATTACAATTACAAAAGCTCATTTCATATTTATACATTTCTTGTTGGCCTTATCCCAGATTAATAAAAAATGAAAATTTTGTAGCACTTTATTCAATCAGCTTTAAATTGCTTTCCCGTTCTTTTAGTAATTAATGACTCATACTTTTTTTTTTCCTCCTCAATATAAACACATATAATTACTTAAAATACACAGAAATTTTGGTTTGACACACTCCTTTCTTCTCAGTAAAAACAATATTTTTTTTACATTTATAACGGATTGCTGTTATGTTCCTGTTTTGGTAAATTAGAAAGAATGTTTCAAAGGCTTTATAGCCTTCTGCAAATGTTGGCACAGTTTCATCCTTTTCACAGGTAACTTGGTGAAACTTGGACTAATCTTCAAAAGAAAAATTTTATGAAGAATTTTTGGACTAATTAAAATAAATAATACAGTACGTTACTAATTAAAGTAAGAACTAATTAAAGTAAGTAATGAAGTACAAAAACAGTAATGAACTTGATCACTTAATTAGATGAAAAAAAACACTGTTTGATTTACTGAATGCTGACATTTTGCATGGCTAAGGTGCATTGAAAGATTAAATGACGAAAGAAAACTTTTAAATTGGGAACCATTGAACTCAATACCAAGAGATGGGTCAAATGATACTACAAAAGATCGAACCACCTTTAAGTCAAAAGCCAAAATAGGAAAGTTTGGAACGATACTGTTCGACAGGTGAAAGCTCACAGTGATCTGTAGTGCTGTATAAGTTAGGAAGTCTCTTCTTCTTCTTCTTCTTCCTTATCCCCAAAATTAGCAGAGCTAAACTATGTCCATGAAATTCATCACCCGGAGGAAGTCGGCCACCATAAGTGTGTTATTAAGAATGTCCCTTTTGTCCAGACCTAGACAGTCCAGTATATGTTGGGGGGAAGCCTGCATGTTGTGGCACCTGGGGCAGTTAGGGTAGATTTTAATACTACCCTCAAAAGAAAGGGACTTAAGGTGGCCGCTGATAAGCCTGGTAAGTGCAGTCTGGTCCTTGCGGTTGCACCGAATGTTGAGTGCACCTCCTGGACTGGTGCTCTGGTACCAGTGATGTTTGGGGGGTACGAGCCAGGAAGCAAGGTAGTTAGGAAGTAACAACGCATTAAAGACGGGGGAATCATGTGCTCAACCATCTGAAGGCGGAGGCAGGGGGGTGACGCATTTTAAAGTAAACAAAAATAACAAACCAAAAGTAAAAAGAAACACAGCTTAGACACTAAAGTGCCCATGTCTCATTTTTAAGTAATTCCACTTTTTCTTTACTTGATAAAGAAATATTTCCTTTTTCCAACTGACATGAAGAAATTGTAGGCAAAATAAGAGCAAGTTAACAAAGATAAATTAATAAAAAAAGCTTTAGAAAAATAACAATAACTCAATAAAAACTTAATAAAAATAACTAAATTAAAACTTTATAAAAATTAGATAATTATAAATTTAATAAAAAATAACTCATCAAAAGCTTAGTGAAAAATAGCTTAGGAAACAAGTAGTCGAAACTCACAAAGCTAGATCGGTAAAAACGAACAAATGTGACACGTGGAATTGCTTTAAGCATGACATATTTCACAATAAGGAATTAGTTTCAGTTTATTCTGCAAGACATATTTCATCATGATCAATTACTGCTCCCATTAATGTAGTTGCAGGTGCACTACACGTTTGACGGAAAGATAGAAACAAAAAGAGATTGAATTTGGGAGAAATGTAGTTTAATTCTTGGTTGGGAACAAAGGGACTTTCGTTACTCGAGTTCATATTTTAGTAGAAAATAGTCTTGAAGTTATTTTCATACCAATGGCAAAGAAAGAAGGTTACCCCTTTTACCCCACCCATATTAGTCACTATTCACTTAACTAAAAAAAAAATAAAAGCTTTCCAAGTGAAAACAGATACCTCTTGATTCATCTTTCAATCTCTGCACAGTAACTTTAAGGACTTCCTTTTCATCCAGTTCACTTTCTAAAAATGCATTTCTCTCAATGGCCTGCAAAGATAGTGACAAAATATCCGATCATTATTTAATGATATTAGTTTTTTCAAGTAGAAAAAATAACAATAATTTTCAACCGATAAACTTTCTTTTTATCACTTTAATTTTCTTCTTGTTTATTTCAAAGCAACTAAGCACCACCATTCATCCGCAAGTAGTGTTTGATTTTTTTTTAATCAACAAGAAATAGTATGTAACTAATTGCATCAATTGGCACAGTAATTGAATAAGGGCCCACATTTTTAAATACACTAGAGAATTAGGCGGTTTTAAAAATATCAATACCCTATTTTCTAAAATATTTTAAAATATTCTTTCAAACTTTAAATTTTAATGAAAAAAATATTAATTCATATTAACATAATTATTAAAATTGGGCAAAAATTGAAAAATATTTTTATTGAAAGAAATCTTGTACACTTAAAATTGTTTTATCGATTTAGAAATAAAAAAAGTCATTTTTTTGAAAGACATATTTAAAGGAAAGTGTTCTTATAAATTTATCCATTTAAGTAAAAAATAGGAGCTGACCTACATAACAGAGCAACCAGAAATCCAAAAAATATTAAATGCAAATATCAAATAATTTAAAAAAGTAACAATTACAGCATGATTACATAAAGTTCATGAATAAATTATTCCTCACATAAAACTTTTTAAATCATTTTTCTAAAACTAATTAAAACAATATATTTCCTAAAAATTAACTTCTTTACCCAAAAAACACTTAATTCTTTTCTTTAATTCAGAAATTTCTCTCTGTATGATAAAAAATTCATATACCTGTTTGAATTTTTAAATAAATTTATGACTTAATACTTTTAGAGAGAAAAAAATATTTTGCTTACATTAACACCTCAAAAACAAATTATAAAGGTAATTTAAGCTATAAGAACATCACAAAAAGTAAGGAAATACAATTGAAGAACGAGAAATACACAAGGTTTCCACTCAATTTCAGAAAGAAAAAAAATTCCAAGACTTTTCCAAGTATATCAGGAAAATTTTAATGAAAATCCAGACCATATTTTATTCACAATGCAATTTTTCATCGGAAAACTTAGATTTTTTTTATTTTATTTGTAGTGCCAAACATCAGATTTCGTGAGCAAAAGAATATCATTGAAGGAGGATGGAAACATGGAAGTTTTTAAAATAAATAATTGTAATATATGTTAGATAAATCGAATCTCAAGAACTGATTACTGTTACTGACAATTCCAAGACTGGTCTTTTTCCAGGTATGATATATGAATTTTGAAGGTTTTTGTAAAAAATTGCAACTTTCCCTGCTTTTCAGAGTCAAAATAAAATTCCCGGACAATTCCAGGTTTTCCCTGATACAGCTGAATTATGAACTTTTAATAATATTATTTATTACTATTTATTTTTAATGATCTCTATCTGTTTTAAGTTTTTTAAAAAGATAGAAATCCATCAAGAAACTGTGGGGAGATGTTTAAAAGATAATAAAATCATAGTTGATTGAGAGTCTTCAGCATTAGTAATGTAGACCATAATAAATTTGATAATAAATTTAGTTTATTTTTATTTCACTTTTCTTCATAAATTTTTTTCAATCCTTGGTAAAACACAAATAATATGCATTTTAATAGAATGGCATAATAAAACATTGTATAAATGATGCGAAGAGAAAAGACTGCTGACCTCCCAATGAGGATAACTAGGTTTGAGTCTCAGCAATGGAGGGTCGTTATGAAAACTGCACCCAATTCGCATTGACCACGGTACTGCTGAAGTAAATTACCCCCTGTGGTAGAATTATCATTGGTTAGAATCTCCTTGCTGTCAGGCAAGCCTTGGGAGGTCTTTAAGATTTTCCATTTTATGTGACATTAAAAAGTTCTCCATGAAGACTAGTCTGACTAAATGTTGGAGCGAGGAGTTCCCTTGTCTTTTGGGGCGGTTTAAAAATTACAAGGCAGGGTTGCCACAGAGAAAAAAAAGAACAAAATAGTTGCTTTTAGTAGCCTAAAGCATGAAAATAGTTGTCAAAAACTATGAAAATAGTTGCCTAAATAAGAACAAAAATTCAGCAAAAATAAGACTAAAAATTTTTTAAATTGACTTAATTGTCATATACCATGATCTATTTAGTCAAGTTGGTGGCAAATATGATAATTTTTAAAAATTGGGTTTTTTAAAATCATGCAGAATTTCATAGCAATTGAAAAGGTGATCGAGAAACAAAATAGACTTCTGTTCAAATCGAACGCATTGAAAAGTGATGACCTAAATTTGCAATCTAAAATATTTTTTTTAGAATATTTATTTAATTTTTTAAAATTTTATTTTTATTTTACATTTTTTATTTTTTAAGAAAATAAATTCAGTGTGTTCAGAAGATTTCACGGGTCACAGGTTTTCAACCCATTATGCTAAAAACATTGCCAGGAGTACAGAAAAGTCTCCTTTTCCTGAAAATAGTTGCTTTTTCAGGCAAAAAAAGTTGCCATAGTCGCCTCATGCTGATAATAGTAGCAAATAGTTACATTTTAGTCGCCTGTGGCAGCCCTGCAAGGCTAAGGAATTGAACAGGGATGGTTAGAATTTCAAAAATGGGTGGGCTGCTTAATGCCTGTTATAAAATAAAATAAAATGTATAAATGGTTCTTTATTGTTAAGTGCATATTCTTTAAGGATTCAATGAACAGAACTTCTCAAATATTAATAAAAGGATTGAAACCTGATTGAGTCGTGCTTCAAAATCTTCCAGAGAAGAAACAGCAGCTCTGTAAGTATAAAATTTTAGAATTTAGCAATGAAAGCGCAAAATAAAAATGAATTAAACAATTGAACAGCGTCATCACCTTTTTGCTCTCTCTAAATCATCATTTAGCTGCTCCAACTCTCTGATGTATTTCTGTAGGTCGTCACGTGTCGCTCTAGTTCGGTTCAATTCGTCTTCCAAGTCAGCAATTTGAGTTTTACTATCAACTTGCAGTGCTTGTAACTTATCCTAATTCATTTTACAAAGAATTAAAATGAAGTAAGTCTTCATAGAGACAAACAAAATATTAATTATATAAAGAAATAAGTAAAGAGTTGCGTTTGAACAACACGGAAAGGAGAAACTCAAGTAGATTTCAAAAAATGATAAAAATTTCAACCTAACTAATGTTTTGTACAACAGCAGTGGCCAAATAACAGTCTGCAAGCCACATGCAGTGTTGCCAGATTAGGGGTTTTCCCCCTAAATTTAGGGGGATTTTTTTTTTTTATCTTCAGTGGGTATTTTAGGGGAATTGGTTTTTAGGGGTTTGTTTTAGGGTTAATTGTGAATTTTACTAGTTTCATTTTGGTTACCTTCTAATATCAAATTCTATAACTAAATGTGTGAGATGGTAATATGAAAATCAATATGCTAAACCAAAACAAAAAGATTAAGATTTAATTTTAGACCTTTACCCCTTTGTTGAATGTAGTAGGTTATTATTAAGCTCGATCAACCAGTACGTTTGGAGAATTTGAATTCAAATTATTTAAAATTTTTAATGTGAATGGCTGAAAATAATGCCAAAGGATAAAGAAAAAAAGAAGTACTTACAAAAGTACAAGAAAGATTGGGAACACGAAAAGCAGTTTAAAGGTTTGAGGGTAAAGGATTTTGTATCTATTTCTTCTATGTTAAAAATGTTTAACAGCGAAAACATATACATATCAGAAAGTATTGACGAAAATATGTTGGATATTTTATCAAAAATTTAAGCATAATGTTAGAATTAAAATATTAAAAAAGTCTATATCGTTGATAATAAAATATTTATGAAAAAATTTGCAAGTCAAAAAGTATTGAAAAAAATATCTTAAATATTTTAGTAGAAATTAAAGATAATGCAACGATTGAAATGTAAAAAATATTAATTTGCTGATAATAAAATATTAAAAAGTATTAAAGCAACATTTTCTATATGTTATTTAACTTTTGTACTATTTTTTAATATTTATACATTAAGTTAAAAATTTTGGGGTTTTTTCAAAAAATTTTTTTTAATTTTTACAAAGGGATTTTACAATGCCATATGGGGGTGAACGGTTATCAGCACTTGGCAACACTGGCCACATGTCACCTGCTAAGACAGTCAGAAAAATTCAACTCGAAAAAGGTTGTTATCAGACATGTGACCCAATTAGAACAAAAATACTGAATTAGGAAAAGTGATATATTTGTTACCATATTTAGAGATATTAATGCACAATTACACAAAAATATACTGAAAGCAATGCTAAAAAAAATACTGAATCCATTACACATGTCTGTGTAATGGATTAGGTACACACAAGGTGACAGCATAAACTAACAAAAGTTTCAATGCAATAACTTTTGGAAAATTTTTCAGTTCTTTATTAACTTTTTACTATTTATTCAGGGTGGCCACTCAAATCAGGTTTCAAATTTCCCTGATTTTTCCAGGTTTTCCAGTAAAATTCTTAAAATTTCCAGGTCAGTGTGTTTTTCCCCCCCTGCTAAAGTGTAGTATAGGTACAAGAAAAGTGTTAATATTAGTGTATCAGTCAATATAATAGTATAGTATTTCATTTAAAATTTATTTTTTTAATATGTCATCTTGAATAGATATGGAGGAAACAATATGCTTAGTTTGCAGAAAATAATGCTTTTAATGAATAAAAATTTTTTTAAGTGTTAAATAGTTTTTGCACAAAATGTACCAAATAGCAATGATCCAAAACAACCTTGGAAACCAACTGTTTAATATATTTTTATTAAGCAAGAGAAAATAATTCCAGGTGATTAGAAACCAATCATCAATATAGAGCCATTTTATACAAACAGTGCTCTTAATAAAATTCATTGAAATAATGTTGTTTGTTTCAAATTAGCACTATTATTTTAAGACATATTTAGTATTTGTAAAGGAAAAATTTTCAATTTCTTGTTGCTTATTCTATAGAGAAAAAAAAAGATAAAATTCTTTTACTTTTATTCTTTTTTTTCCTTTTCTTAATGGAATTTAGAACATATTAATAATTGCAATCTGACATGGTTTCCTAGTTTACATGAGTTAATTTGATTTTGTTTTTACATTTCCGGGTGACCGAAAAAAATTAACATTAATTTCTTAGAAAAAATATCTTATAAAACAAGTTTATAATCATCAAATTTTTACATAAATATTTAGTATATCATAACCTAACGGAAAACAATTTGTTTTATAAAAACTGATTACTATAAGTTCGAATTAAATTGTTGTTGTCAGATGTGAATCGTGTGAAAGCAAAAAATGATTACTAATTTACAAATTGTCTAAACTCTGTGAATTTGTTTGTAATTTATATGTAAAATTGACTGAATTTTGAAGCTGACATTTGAATAAAAAAGTCTATGCAGTTGTTTGGAAAATATGATACATAATTAATTTGAAATTTTTTACTTCAGTGTCAGATGTAAATTTCTCAAATTGGATAGCAATTTAAGTTAATGATAACCATTATAATGACTGAAGATTACTTTAATTATAATCTTAATTCTACAAATATTATTTTCTACTTAAATAGCTTTTTTAAATTTAAATTGTCTTCCATTTCCTGTTAGAATGGTCAGATTAATATGTTTTATAACAATTTCTATCTTATAAAAGTTGGTTGAAAAATCACTCATTTTAACTATGCAACGTATATTAACAACAATGTAATAAATTAACATCAATGTAATATATTAACTATATAAATGAAACTCATATTTAAGCAATATTTTCTTAAATTTAATCATTTTGAAAATTGTAGAATTTATTGCCTGCATAAAATTAAATAATCTTTTTATAGCAGACAATATTTATCGATATGCCTTTTACTTCTATTTAGTGGCATAGCTAGCAGTGAACAAGAAAGAGTATATGTCCGGTTGTAGCGTAAAAGATGGGCCAAATTTTTGGAAAAAATTTAACATGAATTCTACGAAGGTTGTAAATTAAATAGTAACAACTTGACCTTGAAACTCACAGAAGAGCGGACATGCGCAAATAGGATATGGGAGCGGTGAGGTGACGCTGTTGTCGATGTGTAGAGTGCAAAAAACAGTCGGTCTGCTTAGAAGGGTAGTTGTTGTGTGGCATTAAAGTAAGGAGTTTCGTTTCCATCGCTCTAAAGCATATTTTCAAAAGGCTTAATGACGAAAAAAGACGAGATGCTTGAATCCATCGTGCTACTGTCCTATACGGTAATGCATTTGCGCCACAGGCAACCTTGATTTTAAGTCACGACCGCTGATCACCTTTTGAAAACATGCTTTAGAGCGATGGAAACGAAACTCTTCACCTTAACGCCACACAACATCTACCCTTCTAAGCAGATCAACTGTTTTTTGCACTCTACACATCGACAACAGCGTCACCTCACCGCTCCCATATCCTATTTGTGCATATCCATCCCTTCTGTGACTTTCAAGGTTAAGTTGCCACTATTTAATTTACAACCCTCGTAGAATAAATTTGTATCTCTTTTTAATACCCCCTCTCCAGCTTCATTGATCAATTACAGGTCCAATAAATAACTAATAATTTTTATCCCATTTACCTAAAAATTGAATAGGATGTTAGTTATTGTTGTATTGCAAGTAGATTTAAGTAGTAGTGTCAGACTGAGTGGTGTGTAAAAATTAATTATTAGTTTAAAATAAAAATATTTATTATTACCAAAATCTTGGTTTAAACAGAAAAAATAATTTGATTATATTAAATCCTAGTGCTACAGTACAATTAATTATGCATTTTGGCGTTGCATGTAAAACATCAAAAGTGTATCTTGAGAATTTTTTTTATAGCAAATCAAAATGAAAAATGTTTCTACATATTTGTGCAAGACAACCTGTTTTGTTATAGTTTACTTTAATTATTATTCTTTCCATTTTCTATTATTAGTGTGAATTCTTTCAAAAATAAAAAAACAAAAAACAAAAAAAACTGTACTTTGTTACAGATTCCCTTACCGCGGTTAAAAATTTCAAATGATGTTGCCCTTCATTTAACAGCCTATGACTTATTGAAAACTGATATTTATAGATTAACAATCATTATTTCTAAATCTTCAATTTTTTACTTTGGAAATGATACCTAGTTTACTTAATATTAAATTTAAAATTTTGGTCATCTGGTTGCTCAACTTGAAACCTGTCCCTGTACAGTGCAGAACAAAAAAACAAAGTTTTTCTTTCCCTCTTTCTAATAAACAAATATAAATTTAAAAAAAAAAATGCCATTCTAAGCTTATATATCATTCAACATGTTTTCCATACATTTCTTGGCTTTTGTCAGCTTTTTAGGGTAAAAGGAGAAACAATTTCAGAAATATCAAAATAAAAGTTATCATGAAATCCAGAAAATCAGCATCAATGCAACAATTGTAACAATTTTGCTTTTAGCAATTGGTTGGTTTTGCTGAGAAAAAATAACTCATTGGACAAAAGCTTTCAGAAAAAGAGTGCAAGATAAAATCTCTAAATTATATCCAATTATTTTTTGGAGAATTTTATAAAGTTAAAAGTACTAAAACATTTTGAATAATTTTGTTAAAGAAAAAAATACTCCCGAAGTGTCGCAACAAACTTCAACAATTAGTGAATTCAGCCCACAGACTAAAAGAAGATTTAAAAAATAAAAAAACGCTACTGTTACAAACAGAAGAAAATATTCTTTCTTCCACAGTTTTGCCTTTCTTTAACTGTCCCATAATCTTTAAAGAGGTCGAAGATTTCTCCATTCATTTCCCAGCATCAAAGAGTTTGAAATGGCGTTCTAGTTTAGCAGGGTAATAATGAAGAGAATTTTAATGCAAGAAAAGTATTGCTGAGTTGATATCTCAACTTTTTTAAGATAAATTTACGTCTAAATTAAAGTGGATATAAGGGATGGTAAAATAATTTAACTTAAAAGAAAAATTCCAGCTTATCTTTTAAATTCTCTGATTTTTCCAGGTTTTTGTTTAAATTTCCCTGACTTTTCCAGGTTTTTTCCAGTATAAAAAAATTCCTTGATAATTCCAGGTTTTCCAGGTGGGTAGCCACCCTGTTATTGTAAAATTTTACCTTTGAAATTTTTTTGATTATTGTAATTTTTTATTGTACTTTAAAAATTAGTAAAAAAAAAAAAAAGAAAAAGATCTTTAAGTAGTTTTAATTTTGCCAAAAATTATTATGGTTTGGGGCTTCAATTCCTCAGTTGCAAGTAACCATTTATGTACTTTAATAAATGTCTCTTTCTTTTAAGATAAATTGTCAACAAAAAAAAGAAAAGTTCACCTTTAAAGATTCACAATCAAGTTGAAATCTGCTTGATAGAGATTTCAATTCCTTATTTCGAGACTCTGTTTGTTCAAGCTGAGCTTCTAATTCTGCTTCAAGTTCACGACTGCTTTCTTGAAACTCCTCCAAATCAAGTTTAGTTTCCTGGTATCTAATAAATAATTAGAATAACAATTATCAGGTATCCATTGCATAAACATTTACTACAAAAACATCTTAACATATAATTCTGTAATAACACAAATAATTCCCTTTTAATGAAGATAAGGAAGAGAAGATTTTTTTTCGTTTAAAGCAAAATGTTTTTAAAAAAATAATAATAATAAAAATAAAGAATTCTATACATTTCAACACATTTAGTGCTATAGACTAACCTATTAGAACCTAAAATTCAACTTAGATATTTTAAACTTATTTACAACTGTATAATCGTACAATAATTTTAGTTTTAACATAAGGTACTTAGGTATTTCATATTACGTCGCACTAGAGCTGCATAATGGGCTATTGGCGATGGTCTGGGAAACATCTCTGAGGATGATCCGAAAGACATGCTAACACAGTTTTGATCCTCTGCGGAAGGGAGGGCTCCCCTGCTTCGGTAGCCTGACGACCTGCGTGTGAAATCGAGCACTTTAAGGTAGAACAGTTTAATGAGGACTGATACCATGCACCCTCGGTCTCTACGCAGGCTAATCAAAGTGGTCACCCACCCGCTCACTGACCACAGCCAGCGATGCTTGACTTTGGTGTCCTACTGAGAACCGTGTTTTTATGATCCTATGGGACTTAAGATAAGGAAGAGAATATAAGACTTTCCTTCAATTGAAGTTTTTTTTTCTTTAAATAATAATAAATGAATAAAAAGAAAGAATTTTATACATTTTAGTATGACCAAAGTTACACAATAGACTAAAATAACAGAGCAATAACTTCAGTTTTAAAATGAGAAAAGGAATCAAAGATTCTTTTTAAATTGAAGATGAAAAAAATTAAAAAAAGAATTCTATATTATTATAATTAATCTTATATTAATCTATGATTACTTATCTATAAGCTCCAAATAGAAATTTTGAATTTCATACATATTTAAAATTCCGATATAATTATAGTTTGGAGAGAACAAATGGGATAGAACTTAATAGCAAACTAAAAATTATTATAATAATAACTAAGAATTTCATATATTTTACTAATATTGTTGTTATATATTGGGTTTTTTATTACTACATCAAACATAGATATTTTGAACAGGCGTTAATTTTCTCAGAATTTTATAATTGACTCAAAAGGTAAAATTTCATTCAAATTACAATTTTTTAAATTTATTTGATTCAAGTTATATGTTAAAAATTTTAATCTAAACATAACGAAATTATTAAAATTTAAAACTAAAAAAGTTATTTTGAACTTCTAATGCAAAATTTTTCCGAAGTAATATAAAGGAAAATAAGTTATTAGAATTTGAGGTAACACTTACTTTGTGATGCTTATTTTTAGGATAACATAAGAATAAAAAGTTGAAATAAATTTCACTAGCATTTAATGATAATAATTATCAATACATATTATATTCAATATCTGAATGAAAGTCAGTTTTTAATGTTTTAGTTTCCTAAATAGGACTGAGCTATAAATCGATGTATCGCGACATATCGATTTAACGCCTATATCGGCAAGTCGATACAGCGACTTTCGTTCCAGGCGATGCATCAGAAATTCGATTTAAGTCTTCGAGGAAAGACGATATAGCGATATAAGACACGCAAGGATCTTCCGTTATGTTCCGATGCCGACTCGGGGTGTTCGTTTCGTTCATTGAAATGGCCTTGATTGATTAGCGGTAGAATCAGAACCAGAGTTTTGAGAATACTATATCGTGATCTCGCATGTTCGTTTTCGCACCTCTTAGTTTGTTTTTTGTTTTGTCGCAACTTGATATCATTTCTTGTAGATTATTTTCAGTGGGACTAACTTCGTGATCGCTGCCGTTGCCTTGTTCTGAACGCAATCTATTATTGAAAAGAATTTATAAAGAGTTTCGTCATTAATTAGGTAATTTTTTTTAAACAAAACTTTTTCTTATTTTTAAATGTGAAAATTATCGGAAATCTAATTTAAGGCACCCATAAGGAATTAAATTACAAAGTAAATAAATTTGTTAGGTTATTTTTTTACTTTCTTTTAATTTATTAAAAACCTTTCGGATAAAACTTCTAATAATTTAATGGGCTTCTATTACTGATTTTAAATTTATAAATCTTGAGTTGTTTTTATTTTTAGAAATAAAGTTA